ATCGTTACTTTAATAAGACTTTATTATGATGAGATGATCTTCAAAAATTAGCCAATCATGATAAAGCCCGCTATGCTGTATTATACTGATCTCTTATTTGCGGATTTAATTCATATAATATTGCTCTCTCGAGACCCATTATAGCAAGATGTGTTTTACGTTCAAATATTCTCGCAACTCATTAAAATCAAATATGCACACGATATTATCTTTAGTTAATCGTAAGCTTTGAATTGGATTATCGATAAATTTACTCATTGTTTTTCATTGATTATTTCGCGACTTAGCTATTTAATATATATATTTATTACTTTTTTCGATTCGAATTTTTATGCAATATTCCTCACTTACAAAGTGATCATATATATTTATTTATCCAGCACACACGTTAAAAATCACAAAACCAGTGTGAACAAAAACTTTATTATATCTTGCTACCTAACTTCGTTGTACAGTGCAATGCACTCAATAATAAAAATACAACAAATATTAAAATACAAATATTTGTTCTTCATTTTTACTTTAAGGGGATTCGTTGGTTGCAATTTTACTACAATGGCGAGATTTCTGTCTGAATTCCCGTTTCCCTTTGAGCAAATTTTGCATGTTGCGGTGAAGATTTACAACACGATGCTGGCGATGAAAAAAAGGTCAGAAAAAAGATATTATTTAATATTCACAACAAAAGAATATTACGATTCTAGTTATTACTTTAAAATAAAACATTGATCTTATAATTTCTGACAATTCGCGCAATTGACTGGCGCTAGTGGGTATCGCAAATTCATCAAATTTGTCTGTCAGATATAAACCCTCAGAATAGTGCATCGAGTAAAAATAAAAATTGTTTTCTATAAAAGTGAAGAAACATTAGGTTTTTGGTGATTTAATAAAAAATAGAATATACAATTGATTGTTACTTACTATACACAAGAATCCCTAACGTTTCGGCGTTGTTAAAATCATTTTCATCAGCTCCATGTTCTCGCAACGCCTGTCGCAATCGAAAGAGCCCAAGTTGCATTGCTGTTGAAATTAAGATGCACTAGAGTTACCATACTTAGCCAGAAAAAAATAAAATAAAGGAAAGCTTCTACTTGCACTTAAGAATTTTTTCTCTATCCCGCTCCATTTTTGCATCATCATGTTCGCAAGCGTTCCCTACAATCTCACCAAATCCTATTTGATATTCGATGCTCTTCACCTTCATTACTAATAAAGCATCGTGCTCCCAACCAGTGGCACGACGTATCCCTGGTAATCTATTTGAATCTTTCTGAACCTTGCGGTCTAAATTTTCGACTTCGCCTCTGTCAGCGATAAGTGGATCGCATTTAAGTTGTATAATCAGTCACGATTTGATATAATTTTCTAGGACTCACGTTTTCATACGAATCACTTCGTTTATTTCCAGAAAAACATTTTCTATTAGAGGATTTACGATTTTATCTCTATATGCATATTCTGATAAATCGCTGTCATGGAGCGGATTAATTGCGAGACTGAAGCATAGTGAACTACGGAATAAAACAAAAGTCAATATCATCATTTTCAAGTATTAGAACAGAAAGCATTACCTACAATGCATTATAAATGGATTGTATCCATTGTAACGGCCACTCCTTATAAAACACATAGAAATTCCGATTTATAAGGGTACACTCGTTAAAAACGCCGACGATTTCGCTCAAGTTGACGCTATATCCAATTGTTGCCTTTTTGATCGCATCATCATATTTTTTTTAATAAACTCTCCTGATCTGTATCCATTCCATCACTTACAGGTGCAACCATCTCCTCGATCTAGAAAAAATTAGTGTAAGTTTGTTATCGAAATCATTTTAATAAATATACAGAAGACCACGAACTTTTCGCCATTCTATTTCAAGTTTTAACCATTCCTCCTCTTTAAAAGCTGATTTAATCGGGCTACTATTGTTTTCTTCAGCCAAGAAGACAATTCTATATCGTGCAATTCCGCCAATACTTATAAGTTTTTTAACGATCGGACTCTATAAGAAAAGAATTGAATTAGTTCAGTGATGAATCTTATTAATTAAGGAGATATGCACAAAATAAGGAAGATATCTAGACCTCTAATAAAATTATTTCCTCATCTTCCTCATGATGCTTTTCATGTTTATTATTTTCCGAAAAGGAACCGTCGTTGCCAACCGATATCTAATACAATTTATATGACCATTATCAACCTCAGTTGGCTTATCTAATCAATTTAGTACCAATTTTTTCGAATTTCAAATAAACTGACTTTTTTCGTTGGGACCTCTGGTGTCTCTGGATTTTCATTCTCGTAATTCCTTTTATTCCCAATATTGTTAATATGGATATCTTTACAAGAAACTAACTGTATACAATTTGTTCCTTCATTCACGTTTCTTTCTTTAAGAATTGGTTTCTTGTTTTCGACAGTAAGCCATAGTTTGTCGATAGCGTTCCCTTCTTTGCGTTGGTTATAGTTCTGACGATGAAAAAGGAAAAAAATATTATAAGTTTGAACTAGTAAACAAAATATTTTCTGCGTGATATTGTAATCAGTGTTGAGAACCATAACAATCTAAAAGATCTGTCAGAGGACCAGCTAAAAGCGTCACACCTCCTAGTTATGGAATGTCACAACCACAATACGATCTAAAAGATCTCAGAAAAACGACTAAAAGTTGAACCTCCTATGTTGTGGACAACTGCAATTGTCTAAAAGAATATTGCAGAGGACAATTTCTATGTAGGGAAAATACTCGCCTTTAAAAGGTTACTAGCTTTCTGTACTTTTGTGGGATCCGAACTTTTATTTATAAGTTCATGAAGGCTTTTTGCAAGTGCATCTACAGCTTTACCGTAGATAAGGTCCTCGTAGTCTTGTTTATATATATGTATCCAATTTTTGTGGAATCTATAAATGCTCCAATCTTGGACATTATTTTCATCAAAATACGTATGCCAGGTCATTGTAAGGGAATTAATTATGAAAAGGAAGGTAAATCCCATCTCAGGGGTTATTCTCTTTTATAAAGAAAAACGCGTCGCGTTCTTATTGATTTTACCCCAAGACATTCGTCTGATTGGCTGATGTAAATCAATTGCCTGGGTAACTAAAAAATCGTTACAATTGGTCAGTTATTTTTTGTATATTGGGATTAGGGTAAGAGTCAAGGTTAGTGTTAGAGTAAAGGTAGAGTTTTAAAGTAACATATACCAAAATTTTGCAATGAATTTTTTTTGTTATAACGCAAAAGACGGTTTCATAGACAAAATTTTAAGTTAAAGACGATTTTTGTGAACAACGATTGTTTTTAACTGATCGTTCGTGTAATATCTGACTGCTGTAATTAATTTTCAAACCGGTTTGGGATATATAGATACACGCTGGTTCTGTGGTTAAAGTACGTACTAACGCTAATTCCAGAAAAACGAAAAATGACGCTTTGAGCTTGTGCCCTATAAGTTATGCATAACGATAAAGCCTTGTAAGCGGAATTATTCGAACACAATATCTCTGTTGCACGGACTAATTACATACAGTATGTAGAAAAACAATAAAACTACAAACTTTCTTAAACCATTGTTACTGTTATTACCAAAATATTAACATTGATTTATCTTTATTACTTAATAATTATTCGAGAATTTTTACATTCACATCGCTTATATATTCCATCCGCTACTTTTTTGCACGTTTTGCAATATAGATGTGAATGATGATTGCATTCGTCACAGACCTTACACCCGTGCTTCCAACCTCTAAAGATATGCCACTTTTCGAAGTAATTTTTTTTTATTTGTTAATACGTTACTCTTATCTTTCATTGTTATATATTAGCCGAAAAAAATATATACGTGGCTAAAATTTTTTATACAAACCTGTAATATGTGGCACTTGTGTTTATATTTACAAACAAACAAATTATACATAAGCTTATACGTATGAAATTTGGTCTGCCATTTTGTTATAAAACGAATTTATGTAAATTTATTATAACATTCCCCGATATACAGTAGAAATAATAAAAATAAAATAAAAGTCGCTGACCCAGAGGTCAGCTGTGTAACAGTTACACAAGGCGCAGTATATGTATGATTTTATGATTTAAAGTTCTCTGTAATATAGTCAATGCTCTCCCAACTTAATTTTGAAATTCTTAGTGCCGAATAAGATTTAACCCGTTGCATTTTATCAACACCAATTTCAATGAAAAGCTCATATATTTTTCGGGCTCTTTCTGTTTGTTTCCAACGTGTAGTATCATTAATCTCTTTAGGCAATTGGTCTTTTACTTCTTTATCTACTTTACTCTGGGCCTTGCGATCTTGATATTTTTTTTCGTTTTTATAATAATTTAAGCGATCGGATAACTTTCTACCAAATTCAAAGTAACAATTTAAAACCTTTTGACTTGCAATATCATTATCAGCTTCGGCTTTAACAATTTCTTTGTAAAGATAAGTATAACTATCTTCAGATAACTGAGAAGCAAATATTAAATCTTTATTAACACTATCATCTTTTAATTCTTTGATAAGTTTTTTTACTGTAGAAGATTCGCCCTCCTTAGTAGTTGACTTCTGTCTTTTATCAGATTTATCTGGTGATTCTATAATACATTTTTTTTGTGTTCTACTTTCATAAAGTGGGGGTCTTTCTGACCTAATAATGGTGATACAGCCATTGGAGAACCTAATCCAAAGTCATCGCCTAACATTTCTGCAAGAGCAGAAGTTCCACTAGACTGAGATGATGATTTGGAAAACCTTCGTTCGGATACTACTGGATCAATGATTTTATTACAATCAGATAAAGGGCATTTGTTTTCTGTTATAAGTAAAAATTTTTTTTCTATACATTTTCTATGATATGTATGTCCACATGAAAGTATTGTAAATGATTCGAAATTAACAGATAATATTTTATTTTCACATAGTTTACATGGTGACAATTCTGTAACAACGATATCTTGTACTATGTTATGTTTTGTTTCTTTTAAAATATTAAAAGCGAAGTTTTGGAGATTAGTAAGAGACATAATAATGATTAGATACTAGATAAGTTTTTAACAACGAAATTACTTATACTTAGCTTTTTTATATAGTTTATTCCTCATGACTAACAAACCTAATTTGCAGATTTTATAAAATCTCATTTCAGATTTGGTGATCTATTCATTCAGAATTAATTAGTATGGGGGAATCGCTTGATCTTTGCTGGCAATCGTGGATAAAAAATTTAGCTTAAGAGTAGACCCAAAGGGTCATTGCTCTGCAATAGGTGCGGTTAGTGAGTTGGTTAGTACCAAAATACTTCTATGCTGATCTCCGATTCACGGATTTAAAACACATAACATTGCTCCCTTGAGGCCCATTATAACGTGATGTGATTTATTTCACTTTGTGGCTATATATAAGATCATCAAGCTCGATAATTAACTTTAACTTTTACTTTATGCTTTCGAATAGGGCGTTTCTTTACTGCTCTAGTCTTATGCGCATGTGTAACTTCTATTTCCAAACTAGATGTAGAAGAATTACTTGAATCGCTGTCCGAAGTATCTGAATTGGAAGAAGTATCCGAATTGGAAGTGCCCAAATCTTTCGATTTCCCAGGAAGTATTTTGTAAAAATCATGAGTATCTCTTTTATTAACAGATACTATTACTCTCTTCCCTTTCTTCTTAGTTAGGTTTTTAATACGCAAAGTTGTTCTTACCCAGGCATCTTCTGCATCAGTCACTATTTCTGGTATATAAGTCTGGAGCTCATCATCATCATATTTGCGTCCATAGAACCAATTATTACCAAGCAATAT